TAACATCACCACAGTAGCCCCAGCAAGAGTTGTTATGCTCTCGGGTTTCTGTGATGGTGTAGAACTTGGTGAATCTTCTAGAACTGGCACCTGATGGTTGGATGGTTCAGGGTTGGTCTTAGGTTCTAGAGCCTCTTTTTGAGCATTAACTTCCTCCAATTGTGGATCTTGAGATTGGAGGGAGCGTTTAAGCTCAATAACCTTACAGAGATCATTGACAAATTTATCAGCTTTAGCCTCGGCTTCTAGTCTCTCTCTTTGGAAGTCGTCCAGCATTTTCTGCATCATTTCTGATCCTTCGCATAATCTCCTTTCGAACTCCTTTTCCTTCTGGACTGATTCAAGAAGTTTTGCTCTTTCTCGAATTGCCACCTTGTTCGCTTTAATTTGTTCTTCAGCAAACAAGGTGTAGTCGCGGGAGTAGGGTGGTTCGTACCACGAACCTTCAGCGAATAAAAGTTCGTCGAAATAGAAGATTTTCTGTTCTAATCTTAGGATTTCTTCGACGAGTGGATCAGGTTGATCGTCGTATATAGGCCCATTGCGGTCATAGTCATCGTGATCACCATGAGGTTCATAATAGTCTTCCCCATCAGAGTCTTGGTACGGAGAATATCCAAAGTTCTCAGATGGGGTATCATATGGTGGTTCCTCATGGTACGGATAGTAGTCAGACCCATTGTTGACTTGGTAGTCATCATCGTATTGTTCTGATGCGGGTGGTAAGATGGATGGGTTTGGTACGGAGGGCGGTTGGGTGATTGGTAGTAAGAAGGCGGACCGTAATAACCACTAGAGTTATCCATAATAATTATTACGGGTGGTTGGTGAAAAAGAAGTGAGAAGATCGTTCTAACCAATCTTCACCCAAGCTAATTAGGAGAAATTAAACTAATGCCGTGCCACTCCCCGGCAACGGCGCCATTTGACAGTTGTAGTTTTTCGGGTAGTAAACCTTCCCAGTAAAGGGTTAGTTTTCTCTCCGAGTGTCGTGTCTCTCGAGGAGTGGACGAAGGGAATTAGTTTAATTACTATAACTAGGCGAAGATTAGGATTGGTTTATGAAAGTCTTCTCGGAACGATTATAAAAGGAGCAGAGTAAAAATAATAAATTAAGTTTACATA